CTGTGCTAAGTGCTGGAACTTTTCAAGTGCACTAACCAACTCAATTATCTGAGGAATGCATATACATGCGGGGACATCTGCATGCAAAAACAGCATTATGTCCTCATTTCTTTTCTAAGCAGAATGCGCTCTGGTCTTTACTAAGACTTCATTACTTTCGTAAAAAAATATTAGTTTGCAACAAGATTTCTATTAAATACTTGACGATCCAGTAAGGTAGAGCTATAGCACAAGCCACGTGAAATTTAACTTTTAGAAAGGGTAAGCATTCTTCCCAAACTTTGAACAAAGATTTAAGAACCAATATTGATAGGGTTACGGATCAGAGGAGAATGCGATGCACCACTTTATTTGTATTCTTGCACATCACGTTTTTTGCGAACTCTTGTAAAACTAGCTCCTATGTCATACCACAAGTAACCAAGGTAAGTTAACAAGGAACGCAGAAAACCATCCATTTATGAAGAAATTCCCCATCCAGTAATTCAGGACCTATAGATGTGCTGTTTCTGTACTTCAGTAAAAGCCTATTTTTGGAACTATGAAGCTTCCTGTACCAAATCGATGGTCCATTAGCCTCCTTCACTTGAGCCCCAAATTCACCATCATGTATGAATGGGTGCCCTCAGTTTTTCTACAGGTATGGAGGTGGCAGCAAATTATGAATTCAGGATTTGCACTGTTCAATGAAAACTCTTCTATCCCAACTAATTGTTAAATCAGACAAGGCCATTACTGCAGCAGCTGCCTTAGTCGGTTTTTTGCCAATATCAGCATCTGGGACCCTGCTATACTTATTCAAATCACAGTGAGAAATCTGTGGTCTCTCAGCAAGTTCTGAATTCCTCCAGTAAAAAAAATAAAAATCTATATAAACAGAGCCATGATATTTAAACAATTTTGCTTGAACAAAGAGTATTACTTCTAGATTAAAATTCAAGAACACTGTGCTGAACAGCAAAATAAGTTACTTGTTTCTAGGGAGACGTCAATGCATGATAAAAAGGGTTTTACTTACAACATCTGTGTCTAAAGCCTCCAGCTCCTCACTGGTGGTCGTCTCTCCACCATCCCATGGTTCTAGGTCCTTCTCTTTGTGTTCACCATTTACTTTAGCACTAATTGCTGAATCAGTAAAAGCATCTATGGAAAAAACAATGGAAAAAAACAAATTTGGTTAAAATAAGGCAACACACATTTGTGTTTAAGGCGTAGTCGAACATAAAGCACAATAGCATTACCCAAAATGGTTTTATTTTCAGTGAATATTATACTCTCAGCTGTTTTTAAAACATCCAACTAGTATACGACAAATACCATATCACACACAAAATGCCTGACTTCCAATGCAATTGCTTCAAGCTGGCACCTAATTCTGAAAATTTCAAGAAACCAGAGAATAGTGGTCACTGCTTCTCTTTTAATACGACAGTCATATTTAACATGACTAAGTTTACTCATTACAGCATTACTTCAAGAGAGTATCATTCATCACTACTTTAAAAACCAAAATATGGTTCAAGCGTAGTACAACCGTTTCATATGACCATTTATTTACCACAACAGATACCCAAAAACATTAAAGGCAAATTAATACACCTTTACCCAGAATGTCTAAATTATGCCACCATATAACTCAATCCCAGTTCCTTCCACTGCAAGGTTTCTTTGATGCCAATGTTTACACATTTGTAGTCTCTTTATAATGGGATCCTCCCCACAGTGAAGCTAGAAATGCTCTTTGCTTAGTACATCACTTAACGCTTTTAGCAGTGTCATACTGTTCAAGCCACAAATTACTAAATTACATAGTAAAATTCAAGCACTCCTATCTCACATTCTCTGCACAACTAGAAACTGGAATGCTAGAAACACTTGAAGCTGCATACACTATGAATATACTACTAGCCAGGTGTACCAAGCAATCAGCAACTGGATCATGAACTTTATTTTCCATGCCTGATTATATTCTATTCAAACCAGATGGTAAGAAGTACAGCTGAAGGCATATTAGAATATTAGAATATTTAAGTACTTTAATTTTAAATAATGAAGCCATTCAACACTAAGGAAGCCAAATTCTGGTATTTGTGAAAAACTAAAAGCTCAAATCTGCCTAGAGATTCTTAAATGCTTTAAATAAAGGACTTAATCTTTTAAAACTGCTTTCAGTCCATTCTGTTTCAGAACTTCAAACTTCTCAAAAGAAACAGATGGAAATAAGTAATTTGACAGTGAAATCAGGGTCTCATCTAAGAGATTAGGAAATGGTGGGGACCAAACCATTAGAGACTACTAGACATGGAAGAATGCAGGTTTAAATTTAATTTTAGCAACATCTGAAATTGTATTGGAGAGAAATACACAGTGAAGCTATGGTGAAAAGAATTTACATTTATGTAAGTGGTCTACATGCCCCTTATGGTCTTCTACAATATCTGAAAATCTGCTTTAATAAAAACCATCAACTACGCCAATTATTCCAGCTCTACCCAACTTGACAGTCAAATTGTAGTAACACTCAACACTGTCTCCTTAAACGCATCCTTTTGCTCATACTACGAAACAGAAAGACCAAAGGAGAGAATGCAAAATTAAGCATTTAAGAGTAAATAGTTTGTTAACTGGCAAATAGTAAAAAAAAAAAGTTATGAAACACTGTAAAAGGCAAGATTTAGGTACCCAAAATTCCTCCAAAATACAAGAAACTCTTTCAAGATGAGAAAAAAGTCATACGTGAAGCAGACACCCTGATGAGGCCAGATCACGGACTGCAAAAATACGTAATAAAGACAGCTTGTGAAGTCACTGCAAGGTCTGCCAGTGAAGCTGCATCACAGGTGTTAAGGGGAAGCCTGATGCTTGAGCTTGGTGAGGACATACTATAACTTGTTACTGGCGTTTTGCTAGTAAAGGCTTTTTGACAGCTTGGAAACTGTTCTGAAGTAGACCTGTAGCAACCTCCAGCTTCGTAGGTCCGGCACAGCATCCAAAAGCACAGTAAATCATTAGAAAGCAACAGATTAAAATCAAGTGCCAACAAGGGTCAGAACAAATAGAGCTGAGCTTTATGCACACATTTTATAAGTACACAAGCAAAAAGGTACTATGATATGTACTGGAAATGATAAAAACAAGATGCAGAAACAGGGAAACAGTAACTGTCAAAAAAGTTATCCATTTCTGATAAAACAATAAATAGTGATGGGGAAGCGGGAGGAAGAACAGGAACAAATCAAAATACAAACACAAGCTCAGTTCTTCAGGCTTTCTGCATGGCACCATTTCATTTCCCTGGAAGAGACTATCACATTCACTACTATACACCCTTCAGACTTTGAAAAACAGGGATTGTCATACACCTCTTACAAAACCACTCTGCATCTTCAGGGTACGTCTCAAGAATGCATTTAATAGAATCAGGGAAAAAAACCCCACTCCTGTTGCTTTCTACATGTACAACATGGGACAATAGCTCTTCCAATGTTTGTCATTACTAGCACAATACAGAGAGTAGGTACTACAACAACCCAAAGGCAAACAGTAACAAGAGAACACACTTCATTTCTCACTTGGCGCGTCCGCATCTACCTGATCAAGCCTTCAGAGAAGCTGTTAACCATGAATGGGATGTGCACAGGAACTAAGCATAAGCCTATTTAACAGCAAACTCAATGTCCCACAATAAACTGAGCTGTTAGAAAGAAACTGGCCATCAATTACTGGCCATGTCCGCAGGGGACAAGACAAGTAGCAGCAGGCTGAAACTGCAACGAAGGAAACCTAGGTCTTGTACTAGCCATCTACGTGGGAGGTTACATGCTGGAACGCATTACCTAGAGCGATTGCAGGATCTCCATCACTAGAAGTTTAAGTGTAGGTTATACAAATATTGCATGCGTTATAAACGGTTTGGATGGTGATGACCCTACCCCAAGCTGGGGGTTAGACTGCTTCCCCCAGGTTACTTCCAGGCCTTTTCTAGGATCTGTATCAAGAACAAATGCATCCTTTCAGCTCCAACTTCTCTCTCAGGGATCACTCACGGTTCAGTCAGGAGGAAATCCTAGTTTAAATTGCATCACTATAGGGAGGGGAATCTTCCCCCATGGAATATAGCCAGGATGAGATGAGAGAATCCATACAGGGTCCAGAAAAGGAATCCTGCATTTTATTGATGTAGCTATTAACCTCTATAAAACAGCCTCAATACTACAGGAAAGTTAGACATTTAGGACAACATGAATAAACACTACGTGAATGGTATCTTATCTGCCCAGTCCACCTATTCCTTCTCTCACATACTTGTGAAAAGTGCTATAGAAAAACATTCAATAAAAGGCTGTAATGGTTTAAAGAAGGGGGCAACGTAAAACCACACACTAACGAAGTCTACCAGACAAACAGCAGGCAGTCTCCAAAGTGCTTAAAAACAGTAACACTCCATTATTTAGGATAGGATTAACAGAAGCCAGTTCTGTTTTAAGGCACAGAGAGGGTCTGCTGTTTTCACCTATGCCTCACTTCAGATCCATTTCCTGAATCTGGGTGACGGTGACCGACTGTACGAGGGCTGCAGAAGATACTCCAACGAAGTGCTGCTACCAATAGCCCCTGCAGAGCAGTAATGAGAGTTGACGCCGAATGCGAAACGGAGCGCAGATGACACTAACAGCTCTCATAACACCTGGACAGGCAGCCAAAGTTTTAAGCAATTTCTTTTTGTGCAGGGTAAGACTGAGGCAAAACGATTGAATGAAGAGAGGCCTCAGGCAAGCAAACCCAGTAGCAGCCTGAGCTGCAACGTGAGTTCCTGGCTAGCTCCGCATTGCTTCTCTGACCTACTGAGGGCAGAACCTCCTTGCCAGAAGACTGGTGGCTGATGTTCAAGCTCTCCAATTTCCTGTTTTGAAACCTGCCGCCAAATCAGCGAACAGTGAATTATAAAAAGTACTTGTTTCTCTACGTGGCTCAGCTGCACGTCATGCAAAGACACGTTACATCTGCACTCTGAGAAGCTTCAGTTTACCATGCATTTTTGAACAAGTCTGTCCAAGCTTGAGGGATTAAATATTCACAAGCAGTTAGATATTGGCCCTTAACCTATTCTGGCTTTCTGGAGTAATTGGATACACATTCCTCCTTTTGATTCTCAAGAGCAACAGAGAGATTCAAGTTCTATTAAACCAGTCTGCTTCATGCGCCAGCAATGCTCAAACTAGGCCAAGCAAACTGAAAATCAAGTTTGGTGCTGCTTGAAGTAAACTGTGGTTGCGACTTACGAGTTTACTGTGCAACCAAAGTATTTGCAAGGTGCCTGCCTAGCACTGACTTGGTAACATTAAAATTAGCTACTTCCAGCTTTGCCAAATTACACACATTTCCTTTGTCTGTAACGTGTGCATGGCTATTCCTCATCTGGAAGGATCCCCAGAAAGAACTTCAATAACCACATTCCTTTCCATTTTTGTTAGATTGCTGGGACCAGTCTCAGATTTACAGTACAGTAACAAAACGTGGCAAAGGAAAGACTCCTGTGGCTGGACTAACAGCACTCACAATTCTGAACTGCCTTGACACCAGCTGGCTGCAGCTGAAACATTACTCCAACTTCAGCCACATGAGAGGGCTTGGCTAGCAGGCATTACAAAAAAAAAAAAAAAAAAAAAAAATTCGACACAGCTTTTCTGACTCCAAGGGACCTGCTCTGCTAAGAAACGATGCCCAGGCAGCGAGCACCTGCTGAGCTGAGTATACCAACTTCTTCCGCAGGGCTAAACCCAAGTACTCTTAAGTTTGCTTTACCCAAATCCTTAGTCTTTGCCTTCCATGGAGCCCCACAAAGGTGCTGAATGGTAGCTTATTGCCAAGGCCTGCCTTGCACATTAAGCCTGTGGCTTCTAGTACTCCCCGCACACAAGCTTTGCCCCATCACCATGTTCTGCCAGCAAAGTTATTTCAGTGAGGCAGCTGAAAGGGTCACACTCCACGACAAATGCAGCCAGGACAGCTAGCCAAGCGAATGGCCAGCAAGCCGTCTTCCACTGGCAGAACCTCTGTGGGCCCAAGGACCCTGTGTAGCTGGTAATGCTGTGTCCATGCTGGCAACCCAACCACCTTAGCACTGCTGCCGTAGTTCAAGCAACAGCGTCCCAATGGGGGAGACAAGGCTTTTCTTCCTCACGCTGCCCATAGTGCGCAGGCCTCATCCTGCTGTGAAACCTAGCAGCATAGGCTCTCTTCTCCATGGACAAGAGTCCAAGGGAAACCAAGAGGTGTCCACATGAACATGTATAAACCAAACCATTACACTTGAACTGAGGTCTGTATTTCACTGTCCTTTTTACCCTCTGGATCTTCCACAGGAAAGAAAAACCTTCAGGAGCACAGAACTAAGCAGCTATCATATGGTTAAACTGGTGAGTTAAGGGGCTAAATTAGAGCTTCTTGTTATGCATCTCCTCCTTTAATTCACAGATGCATGTAAATCCAAGGGCTGGGTGATCTCCTTTGCAATGAATCCCAGCCTGTTGTGGCAGAAACACTTAGCATCTTACTGTTCTCAACAGGTGCCACTAAGCTAACTGGAGGCGACACACATCCAGGGTTGTTCCACTGCATGCAAAAAAAATACCAATTTCCTTTCTTCTTCTATGGACCAGCAAAGCAGGGACTACAGCAAGCACAGGATACCTTAGGAGGTATGTGATGACAAAGAAGAGTTCTCCAATTGAAAGGAGCATAGCTGGGCGAATTGTGAATATCTTACACCAAAAAAAGCCTGAGGTCTTACAGCAGTGGCGCCCAACTTCTGGCCACATGGGCCAAGGGTTGGCGTATGGGCCTAATTGTGCACCACCCCAATCTGGCGTGCAGGGCCACATCATCTGGCCCCTGAGGCTCCCCACAGGTCTGAAAATTTGGCAGCAGGCAGGCAGCAATTAGCACTGCCATGGCTCCCATGCTACCAAATTTCTGGAGCCTTGGGGAGCCCCTCAGGCCAGATGACACAGCTCTACAGGCTGTATCTGGCCTGCAAGCTGAGTTGAGTACCCATGTCTTAGAGCAGTGTTTCTCGACCCAAAAGTGGGTCACAAGAATATATGAAAGGATCATAAACAAAAATTTTAAAAAATGTATTCTCCTTTAAAGGAGAAAAATGTGGGAAACCGTGGCTTTTCCCTTGCAGGCTGGCAGAGTTCCAGTTGCAGAGTTCTCAATACATTTAAAAGCTGAACCCATGGACTCTCCTATAGCGTTTAAGCATAGCATCCAAGTGACTAATAAAGCCAACAAACATAATAATTGTGTTTTTAACAACAACTTAGAAATTCCTATCACTCGGTTTCACAGCATGAAAAGACTATCAAATATTACCTTTGAAAGAGCTAAAATGACCAGCAGCTCTAAGACATTATTTTCCTCAAGACAGACTCTGAAATATGCTTTTGCGTACCTAAATAAAAAACTACCAAGTTGGGGAGCACCCAACATTCGTACTCATGGCAGTCAACAGGACACTCAGCACTTCTAGCGTCAGGGCTGTCTTCACTTAAGTGCCTAAACACAGCTTTGGGAGCCACGATTTACAATTTAAAGAGACCTCCATTGTTAAATAACTTAAAATAAAGAAACCTACCTCTTCTTGCGTAATTGGTATCCATATCCTTAAACTGCACCATAACAAAGTCTGAAGGCTTGAACAAGATACTCTCTACTATGTCTTCGCGTTTTGGCCCCAAACTGGATTCGGCAGTTTTCCGATGAGCAGCATCAAGCACCAAATCACACTAATATTAAAAATAGGAGCGAGTTTAACATGAAACACCTTGAATGATAAACACTCAAAGAATCACTTGTTAACAACCAACACGCATCCTCCACAGATCATCACATAAATTTCAAGCAGTGAACAACTCCATGAAAACTAAGCCAATTGCATGCAATTCACAAAAGGAAGAGGTTGGATTTCAACAGATTTACTACAAATTATTTGCTCAGCTTTACTACCAAGCAATTCATCAACCATTAATACTGCAGGAAAAGTGATGAGAGATAAAAAAAACAAGTAAGTCAGTTACCTTAGGACTGTAAGTTTTAAAAACTCCTTCATATATACCTCCGTTTTTCACTTGTACTTCACATTTGGAGCCCTAAAACGTGAGAGAAAGAAATCAAAGCAGCTCTCTAACAAGGGCCGTCAAGCAAGATCTGAATGCTTTTCAGTACCGATGCAATGAATGGCTCAATATTCAACCACAGCTCTACCCAACCACTGTTTGTGTATGCTTCCAAAGACGCACCTATGCTTTGCAGGTGCAAAGACTCGTGTGCACCTAGAGCTTGGTCTCACAATGTTTGTAGGTATAAGTTCCAGCATGTACGTATGGCACAGCTAAGTGCTGAGCAACTGGGTCAAGTACATATGCAAGTGTTTTTTCCAAGTGAAAAGTGCATGTATGTGTATGTGCGTGTAAGAGGAGGGTGGATGCTGAAAGCTTGCCCTGAAATATCTGTCAGCAAGAATGGGGGATTGGTGGGATAATTTGCTTCTTTCTTCCTCCTACCAGCGTTTTTAGTAAGTTAAAGCATAAAACTTGTGTGCGCGCAGTATTCAGGCTTAACTTTTAAAATGTCATTTATTTTAGTCATCCAAAAATCTATCTAAAGATAACAAAATAAAAAGCAGCAGGGGCATGGAAGAAATGCACCATACCCCTCAAAAATAACCCATAACACTAAGCTAAGAAAAGTCATCACTGTCCATCTTCACAACACAGTCATGGCATAAGATGCCTGCTGTTTGAATTAGAGGGCTTAAATGTTATGTAGTTTTGTATTCTACAGGTCCATATTGGTATCTATAGAGATGTTTTACTATCCTGCCCCACATGTAAGACTTACAACAACTGACGTAAGTATGTGAACCATTCTCATGTTTGCATAGATGCCATCAAAAGAAATCTGAAAGATAAAAGCGCTATTGTCAGAAAACAACGAAGCAAATTTATTTCACCATAACAAAATCAAAAGGAATTCAAAGAAGCCCTACTTTCAAAATATATTACAAGTTTAAAATTGGTACATACCAGTCTGCGCTGCTGATCAAATACTCAATAAAATGTACATTCCATTAATCCACATTTCACTAGTTGACTCAATGCCAAATGAATCCATCTCTACCCTCCCATGACACCAAAACCCCATCCCTTCCCAAATGTCTCCCCAAGAGAATTTAATAGCTTTGCATTATGTCCTGAAAGTCGCCAAACTTGGAAGTCTACATGCTGGTTTTGTGAAGACTCCATGCAAGACTCAGAACTGAAAATGCCCCGATACCCTCATCCCCCCACCTCTTATTTAAGACAACTAACTGTGGGTGAAGAACTTCAACTTCCATATTGTAAAAAGCAAACAAACAAAAACCCCTGCTCGCCAACATCTGTTGGAAGAGATTTTCTATCACTCCAGGGACTAGCTAACAAACCCAGCTTCCATGAACTTACACTAGCAGGAGGTAAAAACATTGAAACACAAAGTGCCAAAGCAACTACAAAAATCACTATAAACCAACCAAGACTAAATTTACAACAGTACCAAAGTCTAAGATCCCAGGCTAAGCAAACTGACCACACAGGACCAGGAGGCTAGATTTGTCAGGTTTGCATATGCATACATGAAGTGATGAGAATGTGCGCATGTTGCGACATCTCTCCGCTCTCCTCGCCAGCTTCGTTCTTGTGAGCCAACAGATGCTGAAACAGATGAGTACCCCATCATACTTTGAACTTCTCAACTGATAGCACCTTTCAGGCTGTGTCACCGTTTAGCTTAAGCCACTCGTACCTATGAACTGAAGTACCTACGTTTTGTGATAAGGCATAGTTCTTTGGGTAGATGCGATATCTTTTATTAGACCAACTGAGTAGTTGGAAAAGAGTTCTTAGCAAGCTTTTGGACGCAATCACCCTTCGTCAGGCATAGGGAGTCTCTGCTGGTCTAAGACCCCAAGGAACGAGAGAGTTTTGTAACATCACCCGTTGTTCTGAGAAACCACATCTCAGGTTCATCCATACTCCAATACTTATTAGCATGAATGATTTAAGGACATCAAGGACACTTTTTACGTGTTCTGATGTCAGCTTTCCAGACAATGTTATTACATTTGAGAGCAAGGGAGAATAGCGTACTTTACTATTAGAAAACTGATTTTATTCTTGGTTACAAATGAAGGAACAAGACAGACAGCAGTTCCCAAACTGAAGGTTGCAACCCTGAGAGGTTGCAGCAGTTACAAGTGGGGTCACAAGCACCTCAGAGCCCCTAGTTCACCTGAGGTCACAATTATGCCATCTACCTACAATTAATGGAGGACAGGGGTTTAACACGCTTCAAATGCTCCATGGCAACTGCCCTATGGCTACAGTTAAAACAAACAAACAAACAATTTTTTTTTTTTTTTTTTAATTTAAAACCCCCCACAAAACAAGCACCCCTAGATCTGGACAACTTAATTCTGTTTCAAATCAGCAGTAGAGCTGCCTGGATACAGTTTTCAATGTGGATGAGCAACAGGGACAGACAGTGAGGGGCAGCTGAGGACTGGTGCATCCATGTCCCCTGTCCGAGTTGCATGAAGTTAATCTGACTGCAATAGGGGGTGCAACTGGACAAGTTTGGGAACAGTTGAAGTCAAATGATAACCATTTCAAGCCCTCTCCCATGTCACCCTACCACCACAAACAAATTAGATCATTTATTGCCTTTAAAAATGAACAGCAATGAAAACTGCACACATCGTGCAATGAAAATTGCATACATCAAATCTTATTACAGACTAGGTCTAAGCCCCAATTTATACATTACTACACACTGGGCTAACCCGTAAAACATGTTTCAAAGCCGTATAGATCAGAAATAACCAAAACTCCTGGTTATAAAGAAGCTAGCCCAACTTTGTCAATAGTAGCACTAAATCATGTCACTTTTTTGTTCAACGCAGCGATGGCTTGTACTATCTTTAGTGTTCTCCCATTTGAGGAAGGCTCTATTGTTACAGGCCTCAAATAGGAACAAATATGGCGGCATTGTCCCTTGCAACACCTATACATCTACTAGTACATACAGGTATGGTATAGCTGCCAAAAACAGAAAAAATTTGGCTTCTAAAGTTCAGTGTTTTAATGTTTTTAGGGGAGACATCTATTAACAAAGGCAAAGTCTATGATTCTAAATCACCCAATACTTGACCAAGCGTTATCCAACTCTGTGGAGGTCTTGACTATCCAGAAAGGCATTAAAAGGAACTATTTGACATTTGACCATCTCCCCAAAATCAAGCTAAATAAGCAGATTTAGGTCTATCTTCCTGAAACACCTAGTTCAATTTAGCAACTCATTCCTTGTATCTTAAGACAATACAACGAGAAATGTGTACTTACTGTAGGCTGAGGTGGGCCTTTGCCACTGCTGCGACCTCTGAAATTATTAAAATACATGCATCAGATTCAACAAGAACAAGGACAGGACTGCTCGAGTCACCCCCCACCCTCCTTCCAAAAACTCCAGGACCCCAGCAAATTAGTCGATTACAGAAAATCTACCCAAATTTACAGAAATTAAAAACCTAAACCAAAGGGCAAAAAGTATTTCCCCTGATAAAAAATAGGATAGAATGGAAACCCTTAAAGAAGCAAAGCAGAAGTCAACTATAAAAAGCTCCCGTTGGATTTCTGTAGAAGAAGGCATTAACTTACAAGCATTCTAGTAATTTTAAATAAAAGACACCAATGACATTTAAAAGGGATTAAGAAACAGTAAAGCAACTCCACTGTTAAGATAAAATGTTACCTCTTGATATGAAAAGGTCTAGTATTTTGATTAAGCTGCCCTTAACTTTATGGTCAAATACCAAGAATTACAAAGTTATCCAATGTGTCAAAGAGTCAGGTACTACAGCAGAGTCCTAAACTGAGCAAGCTAACCTTTGTATGCCTGAAAAAAATGCAGAAATAAAGCACAGCAATATTACAGACACTACATTCAGCTAAGGTACAAAAACATTTTCTGTTTACGAAATGGTAGTGTAGACGACAAAAGCATTTTGATTTCTTGCTATCATAAGTTTTGCATTTCTAACTTCAGGGTTTTCATTTTTGGTTTTTAATAGAGGTGAACCAATACATCGGTCCGATATTGAATTGGTACTGATATAAAGAAAATTGTCTATATGAGATATCAGCCCAACAGGGCTGCAAATTTGGGGCGGGGGGGTGCACGGGCACACAGGGAGGCCACACATGCGTGGGACATTAGCACGGCTCATAGGGTGGGGGTGGCTCCTGCCACTGCTTGCATCCCAGGAGGGCGATGGGGGGAAGCATATGCCCCCAGATCTGTGTAGCGCAGGGCAAGCTGCAGCTGCAGGGTGGAGCCGGAGCCGGCACTGCACGGGACTGGGCACGGAGGTGCTAGGAGGAGGCTACAGCCACCCCAAGTTTGACAGCAGCTCCGCTCCCAGCCCCGCACTGCCACCCGGCACAGCCCCAGTCCAATGCTCCACCTCCACCCAGGCACCAGGAAGAGCTGGGGTGGGGCTGGGTGTGGAGCTGTGGCTAAATCTGAGGTGGCTGCAGCCTCCTCCCAGCACCACCAGAACCCACTCTGAGCCCAGCGAGAAAAGCCCACCCCGTGCTGTACAGATCCAGGGGTGCAGGCCCCCCCCTGCCTGGCCAGGGTGCAAGCAGTAGTGGAAGCCATCCACACCCCACAAGGCATGCCTCCTTCCTGTGCCCCTCCCTGCCCCGGCTGGGCAGCACCTGCCACTGCCCCTTCCCTCACCATAGGGGCATTGATCTTCCCCACCACGCCCCTTCCCTCCTCCCTCCCCTTCCAGAACACTGGATTTACCACCCAACGGCAGTGGTATCCGATATCATATCGGCCTATATGCCTCCTTAAATATTGGCTACCAGTATCAGTCCTCAAATCTATTGGTACCCCCCTAGTTTTTAAAACACTACACCAAGAGAGATTTTGTATTTTAATGTCATCAGCTCTACCTCTGTTGCTCGCCCCTCACGCACAAAACAAAAAACTAGGCTATTTAGACTACTGGAATTTGGCAGGTTCCTTCCTTCCTTCTGTGGAGCTCCTCCTTCTCCAAGAGCATATCCATTTCAGTCCAGAGTCCAGCTGAGACAGACTTTAGTTGGTACGGACTGTGAAGAGTAGTTAGCCATCAGCTGCAAAAATCACTTTTTGATATCAAATTCCAATTTAAAACATGCAAAACCTTTTTTTTTTATGCTCGAAACTTATTTTCATGAAGGGTCTAAATAGACATCCTGAGAATGCTGTATTCTAAGATTCAACTGCTGATTATATTAATAGTAAAAAAGCGCAATTTCATTTTATATAAAATTAGAGGAATTCTTTTTCACCCCACAGAATCCAGGAAGCTAATGATGCCAGAATAATTTCTCTCTCTCTCTCAAAACAACAATATAGGCCAAGACTGAATATGGAAAATTTCAGATCCCAACCTGAAGTTTATTAGTTGAAAATGGACTGTAAGAACATATATACTGGATTCAACCAAAATCCTGATAATATGCATTTTCACAATGCTTTTCAACCTTAAATTTCATCAAAAGCATTTCACAAAGGAAAATAAAGCAAATTAGGATGGTCATATTGGCTTTAACATCTACATTTCCAACAGAATAAGAGAGTTCAGGATCAGCAATTCAGTGTCCTTACATCACTGAAGTATCATAAAAATGTGCAAGAGGGAACTTTAATATAGGCTTGTCTACGCAGGAAAACTGATCAAGACTGCCATTCCACAACACCTTCCCATGTGGTTATTTAATCCAGATTAAGAATGCCCGTGCATGGAGTTACTGCAGAATAACTACCATATTTTAAAATTCACACCTTCCTTTATTCAAGGAAACTTGCCTAACACTGGAAAATTTAAGATTCTGAATGACTAAGCTGGTATATTACACATATGGAAAAAAACAATCCAAAAACAAACAAAAAACCCACAGGAGCCAAAGCAGAAAGCAGCAATTTTCTTACTGCCAAAAATAATCTATATTTACAAAATGGGTAATGTTCTGAAAAATGGCTCTACAGTAGAATATATCATATGTTACACAAATATCGTTTAAAACTGTTACAAACCCTCCCCGCCAAAACTTTGCTATCCTAAGGATCAGAAGCTGAGCTAACAAATATTTATCAATGAAAACATGTTCAATAATTCAGCCATTAGGCACCTTGATTTGCTCAAAATGGAAACAAAATGTTTAAACAAAGAGCTGAGCCCCAGAAGGCATTAAATGCACGCAATTTCTTATTTGGAAACAAACTAATTATTTGGTGTTCGAAAAAGAACCTCTCCTACCAACTTGGAGTTCAAGCCATAAATATCCATGCCTACAGTCCCTGAACTTCAGGATCCCCATACTTCATGGGACAGGACTGATATAACTCTACACATCAGTGGAATTGAACTCAGTCCACAGAAATTCAGACTCCACAGATGCAACCTAACGTTTTCCCCCCCCAAAAAAGTGTTAGTCCTTTATAGATGATGGTGTTAAACTGATCTACTGTCACCTTCTGGAAGGCTGCACTGGCTTAAGTAACTCCAACTCAAATTATACCAGTGTATCCTACTGGAGGTTAACCACAAGCCTAAGACTAATGCTCTAGGACCAAACTTTTAAATATTTTACAAATGCAACTGTAACAATGCAGAGTTCTTATAAGCAAATGAGTATTGAGTCAACTGCTTGGGCACACGCACAAAAAAAAGGCACAAACTTAATGTTTCAACAGGACCACACTTCCCCCAAAGTTTGTTGAATGAAAGAGAAAGCAACTCACTACTCAGGAGCATGAAGTAGGTACAGGCAAAATTAGTGCCTTACTCTTGACCAAAGCCATATCTACCCTCAGTCTCTACAGTTTCCCCATTTTTTAAAATCATCAGCAAGATCTGTTGTGGGTAAAGGACAGGGTAACTGTGCATAATATCAGCCATGAACAAAGGTAGTGGACATCCATGTAATTTTAGAGATCCCACCTATGAATCTCTCAAATTGGTCATAGAATCATAGAAAGTGAGGGCTGGAAGGGACCTCAGGAGGTCGCATCTAGTCCAACTCTCTGCTCTCTCCAACTACATCATCCCAGCCAAGGCTTTATATCAAGTCGGGCCTTAAAAAGTCTCCAAGGATGGAGACTCCCCACCTCTCTGGGTAACTTGTTCCAGTGCTTCACCACCCTCCTAATGAGAAAAAGGTTTTCCTAATATCCAACCTAAATCTCCCTGGCTGCAATTTGAGACCACCGGTCATCTGCCCCCACTGAGAACAGTCCAGCTCCATCCTCTTTGGAACCACCCTGCAGGGAGGTGACAGATGCCATCAAATCCCCGCTCAAGTCTTCTCTTCTCCAAACCAAGCGAGCCAACTTCCGTTGGCCTCTCCTCATAAGTCATGTCCCCTAGCCCCGAACCAATTTTATTGCTCTCCACTGACTCTCAAGTTTGTCTGTATCCTTTCTATAGCGAGGGGGCCCAAAGCTGGACACAAGACTCCAACACTGAACCAACTTAAGTACCACTGACTTCCACTAACGCTTAGGGCTCTTTTAAAGGTTCTACCATATAGACGAGAGGGTAGTTTTGTCTCTCTCCAAATAAGATCGACAACCTTGCTAGAAATTATGCCTATGAATGGTTATAGTCAGATCAAAAGGCACTCCCCAAAGCATAAGAGTTTCAGTTCACTCTAGTAGTTACTGTAGGGGTGGGATCTTCCCCTGGCTGTCAAATTGGTCCATGGGCCATAAAGGCTTGAAGGGAAAATGGCCAAAGAAAGCAAAGTCAAGGCATAAAAGTACATCAAGACTTCCCTCCCCCTAGCTGAGCCACCATTTTAGCAAGGGCAACCAGAGGGCAACCGGATGCTCTGAACTGTCACCTGTCCAGAAGAGAACGTAGTTTTCCAAGCCAGCAACTTTGTGTCTCATATTCTATACAACCCTGTGTACTGATGATGCTCAGAAATCTCCAGCAGCAATTTATCTGAACTCAGCTGTCCAATTACTCTGCGACAGGGGGAAATCCCCTTCCTCCCTTGCTGGCATCCCCTTCATGCAAAATGGTGCCACATACTTTATTTTTATGTGAGCTTTGCTGACGAAGAGGCCTTCCTGTTAAACAGGTCAGCCGTTTGTCAAACTCCAGGCTGTGGTGTGGCGCTAACCTGAGCCCTTTGTGAGCCCGTCACGTAGGATAATCCAGTTGAGCCTGGAACTGAAGGCAGCTTGCTTGCAGAAAAGTGATGTCAGCAGAGATGGGCACCCAAAGGAGAAAAGATGTAGTCCAGCTTTCCTGCCGGTTTTATTCTTGCAGAGTTTAAACATGCAGCATTTAGTGTTTAAACAGTAGTCAACTCAACCAGACTCAAAGCAAGCTGGGCAGGTTCTCAAACTGCAGG